TTGTATATTCGCTTTTTTGCACATATGCTCACAAGCTCCAGTACCTTAATCTGGTCCATTTGGCATGCACATGGGCTCGTTTGGATACCCCCAGACTCCCTGAAAACGGTCCACCAAACCGTCTGTGAAATGATTGAGGCCTCATGGAGGTAAGTCAAATTGTATATTTGCCTTTTTGAATTTATGCTCACAATCGCTCAGCACCTTAATCTCATCTGTTTGGCATGCATGTGGGCTTCTTCGGATACTCCCAAACTCCCTGAATATGATCAACAAAACTGTTTATGAAAAGGTTGAGGCCTTGGTTGATTGTTATACATTGAATATAAAGAAATATAATTGAATGGGGTTGATAATACTGTGGAAATGTTGAGGAAGCTTGCAAGAACAGGGCTAGCAAATAATCTGAGTAAATAGAGAGCAGAGGCATCACTATTCATATGCTTAGGGTGCTAAAAGCAAGTGTTAAGCAATGATTTGGTAGATTTGACTAGAAAATACAATGAGGAGGATGAGGCGTTCAACTGTGGGAAGAAATCATTTTTGTGGGAGAAAGTCAAATTTCAGCGTTACCGTGCTGAAAAAAGTCTTGAGATCCCAGGTAATAAACAAGTCTCTTCGTAAACTCAGAGGACTCGTAACCTAAATATATTTTGTTGTCCAATGTCACACTAAATATATTTCTAGTGTGTCACACACCCCAAAATATATTTCCTCACTGGAATGGACTCCAAATATATTTCTTATGCCTGGACCCTGAATTGTGACTGTCACAATGTAGAAATATATTTCTTGTCTGGGATGGACTTGGGATATATTTTGCAGCTAGGGTTGACTAAGGATATATTTTTTCACCCACAAGGGGTGTCTGGGGTCCTATATTTAACAGAAAAACTTGGGATTTTTTTTTTAATATAGGGGATAGGGGATTTACCTATTATTTTGTAGGCAGAATACCCTCATTGGGATGTTTGTTGACAGATATTTACCAATAGCTTTGACCCATGTGTAGTATATGCATTGATGTGTGCACTATTTCCTAATTGGGAAAATCATTACACTTTTTTCTGCCACACCTGATGTCAGGCACAGTGCGCATTTAGGTTGGGAACTGTTTCCCATGCTTTTTGGGCCAGAAGAATTAATGGCTAGCATGGTGTGGTCATTGTTAATGATGATGTGCGCACTATTTCCTAATTGGGCCATTTCCTAATTAAGAAAAGTGTTACACTTTTTTCTGACACACCTGATGTCAGGCACAGTGCACATTTAGGTTGGGAACTGTTTCCCACGCTTTTTGGGCCAGAAGAGTTAATGGCTAGCAGGGTGTTGTCATTGTTAATGACAATGTCTGCATATTTCCCAATTGGGAAAGTCATTACATAATATCAGTTTGGTTTGTAGTGTCCGGTTTTTTCATTACAAAATTGTATAGTGTCCGGTTTTTTCATTAGAAAATTGTATAGTGTCCGCTTTTTTCATTAGAAAATTGTGTAGTGTCCACTTTTTTATTATAACACTTTGTAGTGTCCGCTTTATTCATTAGAAAATTGTGTAGTGTCCGCTTTTTTCATTAGAAAATTGTGTAGTGTCCACTTTTTTCATTACAACACTTTGTAGTGTCCACTTTATTCATTAAAAAATTGTATAGTGTCCGCTTTTTTCATTAGAAATGTGTGCAGTGTCCCCTTCTCTCATCACAAAGGTGTGTAGTGTCTGCTTTATTCATTGCAAAATTGTGTAGTGTCCGCTTTATTCATTACAAAATTGTGTAGTGTCCGCTTTTTTCTTACAACACTGTGTAGTGTCCGCTTTTTTTATTAGAAAACTCTGTAGTATCCGCTTTTTTCATTACAAATGTGCGCAGTGTCCGCTTTTTTCATTAGAAAACTGTGCAGTGTCCGCTTTTTTTCATTAGAAAACTGTGCAGTGTCCACTTCTTGCATTATAAAGGTGTGTAGTGTCCGCTTTTTCATTAGAAGAATGTGTAGTGTCTGCTTTATTCATTACAAAATTGTGCAGTGTCTGCCTTTTTCATTAGAAATCTGTGTATTGTCCGCTTTTTTCATTACAAAATTGTGTAGTGTCCACTTTTTCATTACAAGTGTGTATGTAGTGTCTGCTTTTCTCATTAGAAAACTTTGTGGTCTGCCTTTCTGATATCTTGTCACTCCAGCAAAACAGCTCTTCATCATTTGGAATTCATACACCAGTTGTGTTTTGACTGAGCATTAAGTGTCCTAACTTTCTCCTTGAACAGCATCTGACAGTAGCCCCAACAGCTGGCAAATCAATCACTGAAAGGAGATCATGTTGAGGTTGGCTATGGTCAGACATAGATGGACAGAGATGAGTCCCCAGGGAGATGCAATGAATGTTGGACAACATGACTGAAGCTGGCCAAGGGGACAATTAGGACACTTGATGCTCAGTCAAAACACAATTTGTGTATGGATTCTAAGTGATGAAGAGGTCTTTGGCTGGGGTCAGTTTCTCTGAAACATTGAGCTATATCCCCAGGAAGCTACAAGATATCAGAAAGGCAAACCACAAAGTTTTGTAATGAAAGAAGTGAACACTGCACACATTTCTACTGAAAAAAGCGGACACTACACAATTTTGTAATGCATCAAGTGGACACTACAGAGTTTTCTAATGAAAAAAGCGGACACTACACAATTTTGTAATGAATAAAGCGGACACTACACAATTTTGTAATGAAAAAAGCGGACACTACACAATTTTGTAATGAATAAAGCGGACACTACACACCTTTGTGATGAGAGAAGGGGACATTGCACACATTTCTAATGAAAAAAGCGGACACTATACAATTTTGTAATGAATAAAGTGGACGCTACAAAGTGTTGTAATGAAAAAAGTGGACACTACACAATTTTCTAATGAATAAAGCAGACACTACAAAGTGTTATAATAAAAAAGCGGACACTACACAATTTTCTAATGAATAAAGCAGACACTACACATTCTTCTAATGAAAAAAGCGGACACTATACAATTTTGTAATGAAAAAACCGGACACTACAAACCAAACTGATATTATGTAATGACTTTCCCAATTGGGAAATATGCAGACATTGTCATTAACAATGACAACACCCTGCTAGCCATTAACTCTTCTGGCCCAAAAAGCGTGGGAAACAGTTCCCAACCTAAATGTGCACTGTGCCTGACATCAGGTGTGTCAGAAAAAAGTGTAACACTTTTCTTAATTAGGAAATGGCCCAATTAGGAAATAGTGCGCACATCATCATTAACAATGACCACACCATGCTAGCCATTAATTCTTCTAGCCCAAAAAGCATGGGAAACAGTTCCCAACCTAAATGCGCACTGTGCCTGACATCAGGTGTGGCAGAAAAAAGTGTAATGATTTTCCCAATTAGGAAATAGTGCACACATCAATGCATATACTACACATGGGTCAAAGCTATTGGTAAATATCTGTCAACAAACATCCCAATGAGGGTATTCTGCCTACAAAATAATAGGTAAATCCCCTATCCCCTATATTAAAAAAAATCCCAAGTTTTTCTCTTAAATATAGGACCCCAGACACCCCTTGTGGGTGAAAAAATATATCCCAAGTCCATCCCAGACAAGAAATATATTTCTACATTGTGACAGTCACAATTCAGGGTCCAGGCATAAGAAATATATTTGGAGTCCATTCCAGTGAGGAAATATATTTTGGGGTGTGTGACACACTAGAAATATATTTAGTGTGACATTGGACAACACAATATATTTAGGTAAAAGTGG